TCCACTTAACGCATAAGCGATGTCACAAAACCCTCCTAGCTATGAGCTTGAGGTGAGCAAGCACCCGCTCTCCACAGGCAGGCCTTTCTACTTGACTGGAGTTAGTGAGTTCTTTCAAGGCTGGCTCAGTGTGTTATCCTGTGTTACTGGTTCCTAGGGGCTCTTAGGGCCTCTGCTTCTACAGTGGAGGCCTTGAATCAGATGAGTTGCTGCTGCAGCTCTTTCTTCTTACACGGACAATTCCGAGCTTCTGTGACTTCTACCTTGGATTCTTACTGCAGAAGAAGTCAACAGTAAAACAAGGAGCAAAGCACGCTTGCTCTTCACTCATATTTTAATGGCCTTGATCTTCCCAGCCTCCATTGAAAGCGGCCTGCGGCGTGACGAGTCAGGTACAGCAGCTGAATATAACCAGATCTTAAAATGCTCCATCACCAGTACCAAACGGTGTTTCTGTTACTAAATAGTGACATCTAGTGGCTCTTCATTATCAAAGAATAAGATGTACGTTTTTCGTGTTAGCTGCTCTGGCTGCCTTCATTCAATACTCTTTCATTAATCACTTACTTTATGTCAAACCCCCTGCTAGGCCCAGAGGAGCTTATATCGATAAACAATACTTATTCTTTACTCTGTTAGTGCTCGTAGCCCAAAAGGGGATGCAGAAAAATCACTAGACAATCACAGCATATTGTAGTGATTGTCCCAGTAGGAGCATCCCAGGGCAATGGGGTAGAGGCGGGGGACTTATTTTGTCCAGAAAGGTTTTACAGAGGAGAAAACCTTTGAGTAAGTAATGTGTTGTTTTCTAGGTGATGTATGAAGGACAAATAGAAAGAATGGGTATACTATATACAAAGGCAAGGGCCTTGTAAATCATTAACTGGGATAAACCTGAACAATGAAAAGGATTTTTATATCCTTGGAGCATGACATATAGAACAGAATTTCTCATGTTGCCATTTGGAAGATGAATGATTCTTTATTGTAGGGAGCTTGGTCTTGTAGAATGCTTAGTGCTATTCTAGATTCAACCTACTGAAAGCCAATACTAACTGCTCCTTCTAGTTTCACCAATCAAAATCAATTTTGTCAGTTACCAGTATCCCAGAGTTAGCACAGTGAAAGGCATGCTCACAAGAGACTAGACTGTGTAGCGAGAAGCCACATGAGTTTGTTAAGAGTTTCAAGAATTTATTTAGGTATAAAATAGGGGTAATCACTCACTGATACAGAATGGGTTTGCTGCTGGCGCTGATCCAGCTGCCTTCGTCCATTTGTTCTGTCCAGGGGCGAAGAGCAAGCTACCTGCTCCATTCCGACCACCCAAGAGAACTCAGGAGCAAGAGAGGTAGAGACCTCTGTCATGTCCGCATACAAGACCACGCCCTAGGATTCATAATCTCACAACAAGACTAGACAGAAAAAAAAAGCTGGGCCCCACCCACATGGCTAAGTCTAATGCAGAAGATCTGAGTTTTTATAATAACTTTGAGAGAGTATTATTGAGAGGACTTACTGGGGAATGACAGGTCAGATGTAGATATGGGACTGTGTGGAGGAGCATAGGCCCGAATGCATACAAGTGGCCTAAGACACTGCTGTAGCAATCATCTAATACAGAAGTGATAAGGGCTTGCCATTCGGGGATTGACGCAAATGTTGGCTTTGAGAGACCTACTAAGACTCAGGATCAGCCAGTCATGGGGAATTGTTTAGATATAAATAATTCCTGAGGCAGAAGAATTGGAGACTACACGGCTTTTTCTTTGGATCTTATTGTCTCCATGATTTCTTATCAACAACAGGACTGTATATGTGAAACAGGCTCGCAGCATGTTGAGCCCAGACAAACAGAACATACTTATCCACAAGTGAAGTGAAGTGAATTTGTTCATTATAGACGGGAAGCAAAGAATGAAAGCAGCCAGGATCCACTGTGAGCTGGTTTTTCGAGGCCCAAAAAAGCCAGTCAGGGAGCATAGAGTTCAAAGGTGCCTGTCAGAGCCAGGTGTGCTTCTGATATGGCTATTAAGAGGCTGAGGCAAGAGGATCATGAGCTTCAGGCCAGTCTGGGCTATATACTGAGCTCCAGACTAACTTGAATATCTAGCAATACTGTCATAAAAATTAAGTATACTGCACTTAGACCACAGTAAAAGACCCCCACTTTTTTTTAATCTTAGAAACTATATGTCTCTTTAAAAATGTTTGAAGTGCATTGCACTTCTAGGGCAAAGGAACAAAGTCTGGGCAGGTCCTCCCTAACTCCAGATGTTTTGTTCCTTAGGAAGGACAGCAGCAAGATGGGGGCTCTTTCAGGCCATTCCTTCTTATCTCAAAAGACTTTTCTCAGGACGTGCATTCCAAGCACATTCTGCAGTAATCTCAAACGCTGCCTGAAAGAAACAAGAAAAGGTTGGGTTAATCCAAGGCCAACTGGAGAGCAGCTGTCCTGCAAAAGAAGATGGAGAGTCATGACTCCAATTTCACAATGTGAAGCCTGTTCATTTTAATTAAATGACACGTTTGGTCGCAAGACAATGCTGTCTAATTATTGCTGAGAGAAACCAACTGTGTATGATTTTCCAGGGGATGAGCTTGCCTTCCTCTTTGAAAATTAAACCAGTCTGTTTCACAGTACCAGTTGGGTTTATACCAATCTGCAGGGAGGTTTCTAGTGAATGCCACAGACCTGCAATATTTTGTTCTATTTTAATCAGTGCCTGGATGTAGACATGGCCAAGAAGCAAGTGTGCGGAAAGTACTGGGGGATATAATCAGAATCCAGATGCATTTTTTGAAAGGCTTGGGCTTCCTTTAAAAGGAATAAATTGAGCAAAGTCACAAGCAATCTACCCCCATCCAGCATGAGCAAGCTGAGTTTCAAAACCCAGCCATTCCCTGGGTTAATGGAATGCCTGATCTTTCAGCGCACCTGTGTGCCCATGGTGCCTCTAATGGCGCAAGGCATCCTAAGGCTGACTCACCTTGGACCAGCAAGACAGTCTGGTGGTAAAGGACCTTACTGAGAAGTCTAGTAACCTGAGTTTGACCCCCTAGAGCACACATTGTAGAAGGACAGAATGTCCTCCTGAAAATTGTCCTCTGACTTCCACACAGGCACCAATGTATGCTCGTGTTTCGTGTATACACACATACACACACACACACACACACACACACACACACACATAAGTAAATGAAAACGTAGAACAGTTCTGTTTGCTCTGTCCGTGGTTTGGCTTGGCCTCCAAAAGGGCCATTGTGTTCGTGACTATCCACCTTACTTTTGAGACAGGGGCTCTCACTAAACCCGGAGCTCATTGATTGAGCTAATCTGACTGGCCAGTGAATTCCATGTTTCCACCCATTTCTGCCTCCACAGTTCTGGAAATTACGGACACACGCTGTACACCTGACTTTTTATGTGGATTCCGGGGATCGGAACTCAGATTCTCATGTTTGCAAGACAAGCACCTCCCCAAATGAGCCCTCTTCCCAGACCTCAGGATATTATGTTTACTTATTTTCCCACCCTCCAGCTACAAGGTAACTGCAGGGGCCAAGGAACACTGAAGAACAGTCCATCAGCACGTCTTCCTTTTCACCATTGGGTCTTCTTTTCAGCAGCATCTGGTGCTCCCAATTGAGCCCATCTAGGTCCCTGAGATGGTTTTCCCTGGAAGGATGGAGCTATTAACATAATCTCCAGCTTTTTTTGCGACCTGAATCAAGGGAGTTATGTGTGTGTGTGTGTGTGTGTGTGGTATAGTGTGGTGGTTGTGTGTGTGTGTGGTATAGTGTGGTGGTAGTGTGTGTGTGTGTGTGTGTGTGTGTGGTATAGTGTGGTGGTAGTGTGTGTGTGTGTGTGTATGTGGTATAGTGTGGTGGTAATGTGTGTGTGTGTGTGTGTGTGTAGCAGTGATAATACTACAGTGTGAAAACGGAGACTGCTCCACTGCGCATGTCATGATTCCGTACAGGTGACATTTGGTCAGAGGTATGTTGGATTACCACCTGCAGAATTCAAGGACCTTGGAGAGGTCTCAGTCACTCCTTGTTTCCTCTTTTTGTGTGTGAGTGGTGCTTATAAAACAGTGATTGACACCCTAACCTTGGCAGTTGACTATATCTGGTCTTAAAGTTTAAGTCTAGGGGAACTCAAAAGAGAAGACAGCCATCCAGCAAAGCTTCCACACACTCTATTTGTTTACTTGTTCAGTGAATAAAGAAAAAGAATATTTGGGATCTGACAGATTTAACTTTCCTATCCTGGGAATGGTACTATGTAAAAAGAGGTAGATGCTTGCAAATGTGGCGTTGGCAGCTACATGCCTACTTTAGACCATACTAACCACTGTGTTTACTTCTGGAGGCCCTGATGCTCTGCCGGCCTCTACAGTCCATTTCTCTAATGAATGAGCCCTAATATTCTGGGAATAACCAGAATGGAGAGTATCTTGTCAAATAATTTTGGTGTGATTTTCTTTTTTTCGTAGCATTTCCAGATTAGACCAGGTTGTTGAAAAAGGCCTGTGCATTGTTCATAAAGAAATGTTAGAATTTTACCTCCCTTATCAACTCCATTACACTTCCACGAGCCATTCGCTTCCACTGAGTCTTCATTTTGTGATTCGTTTAATAGGGGTTAGGGGTTTGGAGTATAAAGTAAAATGGTTGTGTACTGGCCCAATAGGGCCATTGGGAAGAGAACAAAGGAGGGTAAAGCACAGGAAGGTTGTTATCCAGAGTCTAACACTTTTATGCCTGCTGTGGATATAGTGTCAAGAGATTGGATAAATGAATTCGCTATGTGGTCATGCTAGTTGGCTATAAAGAGGGGACCACAGCACAGTTTGCAGGACAAATGCTACCAGATCTCTGTCATTCCTCTGCTGCATTCCTTAGTGGCCATGAACATCACAGGCCACCCACCTTCCTGATGGCACTTATGTCAGCTACACTTCTGACTGTTGCTCCTTATGCTTTGCCCATAGGAATTTCCACTACATCACCATCCTCCGAGATCCAGTGTCCCGGTACTTGAGTGAATGGAGGCATGTCCAGAGAGGGGCGACATGGAAAGCATCCCTGCATGTCTGTGATGGAAGGCTCCCAACCTCTGAAGAACTGCCCAGCTGCTACACTGGGGATGACTGGTCTGGCTGCCCTCTCAAAGAGTTCATGGACTGTCCCTATAATCTGGCCAACAACCGCCAAGTGCGCATGCTGTCTGACCTGACTCTAGTGGGCTGCTACAACCTCTCTGTCATGCCGGAAAAGCAAAGAAACAAGATCCTTCTGGAAAGCGCCAAGTCCAATCTGAAGCACATGGCATTCTTTGGCCTCACGGAGTTTCAGCGCAAGACCCAGTACCTGTTTGAGAAGACCTTCAACATGAACTTTATCTCGCTGTTTACTCAATACAATACCACTAGGGCCTCCAGCGTAGAGATCAATGAGGAAATCCAAAAGCGTATTGAGGAACTGAATTTTCTGGATATGGAGTTGTACAGCTATGCGAAAGACCTCTTTCTGCAAAGGTATCAGTTCATGAGGCAGAAGGAGCATCAGGATGCCAGGCGGAAGCGTCAGGAGCAGCGCAAGTTTCTGAAGGGAAGGTTCCTTCAGACCCATTTCCAGAGTCAGAGTCAGGGCCAGAACCAGAGTCCAGGTCAGAATCTGAGTCAGAATCCAAATCCCAACCCAAATCAGAACCCGACTCAGAGTCTGAGTCAGAATCTCACTCAGAGATTCAATTCCAATTTGATCCAGAAGGAGAGTCGGGGGAGGCAGAAGCAGGGCTCAGGCCGCAAGCAGAGTGGTAGCAGCGGCAGCAACGGCACCAACGACTACATAGGCAGCGTAGAGACATGGCGCTAACTGGCTCGGGAAGGGGTGTGTGCACTGCTTCCCCAAGCACCACCAAAAAGATGGTGTATATCTAACAAGATGGAAATGTCCAAACACACCCTGCTTCCTTCATTTTGGAAGTTCACAAAAGAAGTGTAGATGTTGCCTTTACAGCTGCCTTTTGATTCAGTGTTACACCGTGTGTGGCTAAAGCAAATCTCAGTGTGTAATTAAATTGTCCTTTTTGGAGATGAACTATTTCTGCAATCCAAGAGCCAAACCAGACTCACCAGAAATTGCAGTTTAGATATTTTAAGAAGGTCTTAAATTAGGTATGGAGACACAAAGAAAACACGAAATGTGGCCATTTAAACTTATGGCTAAGAATCAGATTTTAAATGATTCCGGATACTCTGTTAAAACCCAATTTTGAAAGCCACCCCCCCGCCCCCCTGCCAGAGGGAAGTATAAGTAAAAACATGAACAGACTAAAAGACACTCAAACCTTCCATTTCCTTCTTGTTTTAACAAGAAGTCTATTTAAACAGAAAAACAACTGATGATAAATTTTGCCAAACTGTAGAAAGTAAACAATTTCTCACTTAAATGTGGGTGGGTTTATGTAAAAATATGGCTTTTCAAATAGATTGGGATTCATGTCTTGTAATTTAACAGATGTTTAAAATTTAAAATTTTTCTACCTTCTGCTGATTAAAAGGTTTTAAACAGGGTATATCTCATATTTACAAAGCATTTTTCCAAATGGAATACCAATGGAAAGATCCAGTTTCCAGATGGTTTCAGGGCACTGTAATTTCAACAATTTCAGTCATTTTGGCGCTGCTTCTCATTCACTTTAATGCTTCTCCAAGTTGTGCTCATTCCAAATGAATCCATGTATAGAATTTTCCTTCATCATCTAAATGGTGTGTTTCTAAATCTCTTGTGGTATTTAATCCTGGATTAAAGTCAGGACCTTCTATAGAATTGTCTTATCAATGTCTGTGTAGTAAGGCCCTTAACAAGAAACTCTCAAGCAGAAGAGTGGGTCTCTAAATATTGCTGAACTTATTATTCTTGATCAAATTGAACTGAACCTGAATGTGAACTGTTTCTTATTTTGTTTGTTGTAATGTTTCCAGTTTGGCTGGCTATTTCTGGCCCATGGTTCTTTTGTGTTGAAAGATTTGTACACAATGACGAGAGCAAATTTTTTTCAAAGACAGTGGTACTAATTTAGAACATTAGGATAGCCAGAGTTACTCTGTAATACCAACAGTTGCCTCTGGATACTTGGGGTTTCACACTTTTACCAGGTTTTTATTTATGAAAAAATCAGAAGTGAAGAATATTCTGCAGTGAAGCTAAGTTTCAAGAACATACAAGTTGAGAATAGTTTGGTAGTGTAAGTCTGTGTAATTGTACATTGATGGTATCAGTTGCAAATTGAACAAAGGAAGAATGATGTCCCCGCTGTGTTGTTAAACATCATACTGCTTGGCAATTTCCACTTCATGGCTGTTGCTATACTTCTATAAGAACTTACATTAGTTCCTTGGCTTTCAAGAGGGACATGCTTAGAAGTCATATGTAGCACAGTCTGCCCGAGTTCATAACCTGGTGTCATCTGTAATCATATGGCCACAAGTTGGACAAGAAGTTGAGTATCTGGGTCTAAAGGGGTTTTCTTGACTCTGAGCTCTGTAACAATATCTACAGCGTTTTGTTTTGTGGTATTACAATGTTGAGAATTATGATACCTTAAAAACTGGAAGGAATTTTTAAAAGCACATCTTGAAGTCAAAGTGTTTTAGAATAAACCTATGTGGTGTACATTGTTCTTAAAATATTCTGTAGATCACTATGATATTTCAGTTTCTTTAGTTTTAATTGAAAATGTTTGCTCTTAAAACTGACAGTGTTGGAAAGCAGGACGAAGTCTGAGCCAGTGGAAAAGCTCATTACAGAAAAAAATATGTGTTATTGCTGTGGTGTGCATGGTTTGCAGAGATTAAGTGCGTTTTCTCTGTCTCTACTGATTACTGTATATAGAGAATGGTATAAATAGACATTTTGTCATCATCATGTAAATCCCACGATTTCAAACTGTAAACATCTGTTCAGTGGTGTAGCTTTACAAGCCGTTCACTGATTTTGTGTAATTTAACAATAGATGTGAAATAAAGTTTCAACTGCAAGTTTTGAGCGATCTCATGCTTTCAAGGTTTACACCACCAGGCCCTGTGACATCATAAGCAAACCAGAACTGGGATCTTTTCTCAGACAGTGCTTTTCTTTACACTTGACAGCAAAGGATGAAAATGAGATGGTTCATTCTACTTCTTTTTGCCAAAATGACTTTGTCATGCTTCCTTCTTGGAGGCCATGATTTGAGTAAGCCAAAATTGTCTGTGAAATACAAGGTTTGCCATGCAAATGAAATCTACCCGTGTTTTAATTTAAAGGTTATTATAGTAGGTGCTTTCACATGTAGTGGGATGCAAAAAGGAGAAATACTCGTAATTGCCTACCTCTTCCTTTTATCCACAAGAAAAAGGTTAAAGGTAGTTGTTAACATTTTGGCTTTGACCACGGTTTGCTCTAATTATATTCAGCATACACATTCTCCCCCCTCCCAAATCTTTGGGATTAGGACTATGGGTAGAGATGATTTGTGCTAGCTCTTTCTCAAAGAGAATTTAAATATCCATTGCAAGGGATTAAAGGGGAAAAATCTACAAGTTCAGTGACTGTTAGTATCCTCTCCTTATAAACTGTTCTTGTGAAGTTTTCCATACCAACTGTTGAACAGTAACCCAGGAGACCAGACTTGGAGTACAGCTCAGATAAGTCCCCGGTTTCCAACCCTAGCATCACAGAAAAATGGTCAACTAAAGGTCTCCCTTATATGAAGGCTCCCATGTCTCCTGGGAATGGGGGATCTGAAGGACTAAACTGGAAACTGCTTGGTATATTAGTTAAATTTTTATTGCTGTGATTTATAAAACCCAAACTTTTACAAGCTTTTGCTCTGACTTAAAATTCCAGAGGGACACGTCCTTCATGGTGGAGAGGCTGACAGCACACAACAGGCCTGGTAGCTAGAGTAGGATGCTGAGGTACATCTCCAGTGGCAAGCAAGAAGCAAAGAGAAAAAACTAGAAATGGGGAGAGACTTTGAATCGCAAAGCTTTCTTCTAATGGCATACTTCCTCCAGCAAGGCTACATCACCTATACCTGCTCCAGACAACGCCACCAATTCAGACCAAGGGTTCAAATATGTGAAACTATGGGGGACATTTGTCTTTACACCACACCATTTAGTAGATAAAAGTTAGCTCTAAAAAAAAAAGTTAGCTCTATTTTTTGCTTGAGAGGAATGGGTACCATATAAAGAGCAGGGTAATATTCACTGAAGCTTTAAACATGCAAGTCTCCCGGACTGTAGGTAACTTCAAGACATCAAGGGAAATTGTGTCCTGAGAAAATGGGCTATCTGAGCCTGGAGGGAGAGTTGAAATGAAGAAATGACTGATTAACCTAGTCTTCTGAGGCTTGAGAACCTCCCTGTGAATTAGTTACTTTCTCCATGACTGTGAACTTAAAGGGACAATGGAAAGGAGGGAGGACACTCTTTTCATTTGTGCTTTGAGGATACAGTCCATCCTGGTGGCAGGGCTGTGAGGTTACTTGCTTACATCCCCACACCCAGGAAATTGAGATGGGATACAAAGCTGGGGCCAGCCTATAAACCTCAGGGTTCACCACAGCAGTTCCTCACTTCCTCATTTGGGCCGCTGCTCTCAAATATCCCACAGTGCCTAAAACAACACCAGGAGCAGCCAGAGACCTCGTGGCCTACCACCTGAGTCTGGTGCGGGGGGGGGGGGGGGGGGAAGCGTTCAAACTCTCACACGTTCAGAGTTATAGCAAAATAGGATCGGGGTGGAATTGAAGTGGAGAATGATTTCCTTTCATGGGGATGAAAATAAGGCAAAAGCACAGCACCACAAGTTTGGAACAAGGGAACTATGGGACACTGCTGGCTGCCCACATGTGTGTAACCCATTTCTTTCTGGCATTGTCCTAACAGCATGGCCCCTGACGCTAATGTGTGGGGGAAGGGAGAGAATAGTGCAATAGTTAGCTGGGACCTTCTTCCCTCTTTTCTTCACTGGGGATTGAACTAAACAAAGACAGAGTGCTTATGGAGAATGATAACAAAACCCAAGGATGTGCTGACCCCCAACGTTGCCGCCAGAAGCTTGGATTTCTGATGGTTTCCAGGGGGAGGAGGAAATATCTTGACACTTCGCTGAAGGAATTTGACTTTAGACACGAACGTGACCTCGTGCAGTCCTCAGACTTTCACAGATGCTCGAATCCCTGCAACCTTAAGGAGAAATGAATGTGTTACTGGAACGTAGCACAACCATCTCTTTGTTTTCTCAGGCTGCTTCTAATCTACAGCAGCAGGGGTCATTAAAATGGAACTCTGGAGCTTGGAATGTTTATTTTCTTGCCCTCTGGACAAGAAGTTGATTGACCCTGGAGCTGTAGAGCAAATCCAAATTCCCTATGTACTGAAAACTTGGCAGAGTTTCCCAGAGTCTATGAGAACAGAGGTCATGCTTCCTAAGCTGCAGTGGCTCCTGGGGCCCAAGAGTGGGGAGAAGCAGATCTTTACTCTCGCAACTGAAGCCACTGAAGCCAAGTACTGTGTCAACCAGTAGGAACAAACACGCAGGTCTTCAGCTGTGCCAGATGCTCTCAACATGTGTACCAGTTCTGAGAGGGGGGAGGGGAATCAGTTTGAACGTGTGCTTTTAAGAATTAAAGATCTGTAAGTACTCGAGTAAGCACACAGTGAAATCACCACTCTGCAGCTCTCTTGGTCCTAATCACATTGAAATCCCCTCTCCTCCATCATCTTCTCTTCTCCCCTCCCCTCCCTCTTCTTTCTCTTTCCTCTCTTCCATAAGCAATACATATAAAATGATGGAAATGAGTTTGCTCTCACTCTTACTAG